TCGAAAATTAACCGTTCTCGACATACAGGATGTTAAAATTTTTCTGGACTCTACGTTTTTTCTTTTAAACTATAACTACTACAAATTTGATACTTGGCAAATCGATACAGTATGAAACTGTCTCTTTTTGAGAGTAGTGTGATGTTTCCATTGCTTCCGGTTGGACCGGCGGTGAAAATAAATACCACTATTTTTCAGAAAATTCAAAAATTTTATTTAACAATTGGTTAGATAGCTTAATTCTAAACAACATTAATACGAAAAAAAATGTTGTATTCCTTAAGGTTTCCGAGAAAGAAAACATTTTTTAAAGTAAATTATTAGATAAGTTGAATTGACACAATGCAATACTACTACTTTTGGTTTTTATAAGTTTCACAAATCGATGCAGTATGAAACTGTCTCTTTTTGAGAGTAGTATGATGTTTCCATTGCTTCCAGGTGGTATAAGTTATTCCATTAGAAAACGTTATACCGAGTACACGGCCATTAGTTACCAAAATTTTGCCGTTACAAAGAGTAGGCTTCGACTTACATACAATCTGCTAAGATACATTAATTTGACATTTTGTTCAAATTACGAAATAACCAAACTCCAGTAATTTGACTTTGCGAAACCATAGTGAAATCGTTTGCAATGGTCTTGTATTCAAATGCTGAAATGAGCGATATGGTGTTTATGTACGGCCGTGCCAATAGAAATACTTTGAGAGCACGTCGTTTCTATGCTGAAACATTTCCCAATCGGCGGCTACCTTCACATGTTATGTTTCAATCACTTTTTCACCATCTAAAAGAAAGTGGATCCTGTGAAAGGTCTTATAATACCGGACGGCAGAGATCCGTATGTACACCGGAAATAGAGGAATAAATTTTAAATACAGTTGCTGAAAATCCCGAAGAAAGTGTGAAAAAAATTTCGGCTCAAGTGGGTACTAGTGGATATGTTGTTTGGAGAACTCTCCGTGAGCAACGTATTTACCATTACTATATCCAACGTGTCCTAGCCCTCAATCCTCCGCATTACCACACACGGTTGACAGTCTGTCAATGGTTTTTACGAGAAGCTGCTGAACGTCGAGGATTCTTAGCTAACATACTTTTTACAGATGAAGCTGGTTTTACTAGAAATGGAATATTCAATTTACACAATAATCATGTGTGGTCTGACGAGAATCCGCGAGCCGTTGTTGAAACCAGACATCAACAGCGTTTTAGTTTAAATATCTGGTTAGGTGTCGTAGGGGATAGGTTGTTGGGACCGATAGTTTTACCACAACCATTAAACGGTCTAACATACTTTGATTTCTTGGAAAACACTCTTCCTCAACTTTTGGAAGACTTGCCGCTAAATCAAAGACTAAATCTTTGGTTTATGCAGAATGAAGCTCCCCCACACTTTACGCGTATTATTAGAGAACATTTGAATGAAAGATTTCGTGGGAGATGGATAGGGCGAGGGGGTCCCATTACATGGCCTGCACGTTCGCCGGATTTGAACCCGCTAGACTTTTGTTTTTGGGGCTAAGAAAGTAAAAAGTTTAGTGTACGCGACACCTGTAAACAATCTTGAAGACTTGCGGCAACGAATAGAACATGGTCGCCAGACAAGCAATTCGTGAAAACTACGGGTTATTTGAAAGAGGTTCCTTTGAAGGCAGAATTAGAAACTGTATTGATGTTGCAGGACGACATTTTGAACATCTTCAGTAAAAAGCTTCGTTTTGATGATGCTTATAAACTTGTAAGTTTTGTGAAACTTATAAAAAGCGAAAGCATTAATATTATATTGTGTAAATTCAACTTTTCTAATAATTTATTTTAAAAAATGTTTTTTTTTTCCAGAAACCTCAAAGAATACAAATTTTTTTTTTCGAATTAATGTTGTTTAGAATTAAACTATCTATACAATTGTTAAATAAAATTTTTGAATTTTCTGAAAAATAGTGGTATTTATTTTCACTTCCGGTCTAACTGGAAGCAATGGAAACATCATACTACTCTCATAAAGAGACAGTTTCATACTGTACCGATTTGCCAAATATCGAATCTGTAGTAATTATAGTTTAAAAGAAAAAAGGTAGAGTCCCAAAAAATTTGAACATCCTGTATCTCGAAAACGGTTAATTTGCGGACCCATGTTCATTAGGACTTTTCAACTTGGTTTCGACTGTAGTGCTACCCCTATAAATATTTAAACGTTGTTTTAAAACACCCTGTACAAAACACAATTTAATATACACCATTATTACACCGCCACCATTACCCATAATGGAAATGATGTGGTTTTAACACTAGGAATACCACATTAATGTTGACGTTTCTTTCTTCATTCTCTTCTTCTGAGACATATTCGGTCGCCTTTACTCTTTTGGTTCTACACATTTTTGACGTATGCCCCATTTTATTACAATTGTAGCATTTCCAATCTTTTGCCGAAAATTTATCATGGTTTCTTTCACAACGACGACACTTCTTTAAATTTTTGTTCCCAATCTTCTTTCTTTCACCCCTTTACTTGAATAACATTCACATCCTGAAAATGTATTTCTTTTTTTCACGTTCTGCAACATCATAACTAGTAGCAAACTGCGTAGCTTTCTCAAACGTTAAATCTTTTTCTAANTCTAATGACGTGAAGACAAATATATGGAGCAATTTGAAAAACAAAAGTTAATTATCGCTTAAAATTGAAGATGGCCTTGAAAAAAATTTATTTGTAGCATGAACCATAGTATTCATCAAACCATTTCATTTGATGTCTCGTCATGAAAATCGGAATATAAATGACAGAGTTACAGCTTGGGGCGTTTTTTGTGTGACACCCTGCATAAGAAAAAATAGAAAGGTAAAATAAACGAGAAAAGTTAAGTTAAAATATTAAAGAGAAAAGAAAACTAAGTGAACAAATTTTGGATTACGGAACGTCAATTTTGGATACAATTTGTACTAGCAATGATCATGAACCTCAAGAATAATATTAATTGATTATGCTTACTTTGTCTACGCACGACGACGCTCTTCTACCAGGATTCGGACGCTTCAGGACACAGCTCAGGACAGCTTGCTTCAAGGCACAATTTCGAAAGAAGGATTCGATTCCTCTAGCAAATTACCCAGCACAAACCACCAGCATATTTAGAAGTTTTTCCGAATTTAGTATAGAGAATTTAAATTAAATTAAAAAAAAATTGAGCGAACTCAAGGGGAAGACTATAGCTTCTATCTACTTTGGTAGTGCTTGGTGGTTGGTACCAGACTCCCCGAGTCGAATTCGGTGGCGCACCAACGCCTTACGCAGTAAAGCTGACTTAAGCAAATATACACCATTATTACACCTCCACCATTACCCATAATGGAAATGATGTGGTTTTAAACACTGGGAATACCACATCAATGTTGACGTTTCTTTCTTCGTTCTCTTCTTTTGACTCATATTCGGTCGCCTTTACTTTTTTGATTCTCCACATTTTTGACGTGTGCCATTTTATTACAATTTTAGCGTTTCGAATCTTTTGCTGGACATTTAGCAACATCATGGTTTCCTCCACAACGATGACATTTCTTAAACTTTTGTTTCCAATCCTCTTTGTTTCACCCCTTTACTTGAAAAACATTCACATCCTGAAAATGTATTTCTTTTTTTCACGTTCTGCAACATCATAACTAGTAGCAAACTGCGTAGCTTTCTCAAACGTTAAATCTTTTTCTAACACGCACCAAAAAATGTTCGTGTATATTTGTGATTTTGGGTACCTCATCCATAGTTTCTTTTTATTTTATTTGTTATGGTAGTTTAGCTTCTTCCTTTTTTATGATATGTTTTTATAAACTACGATATAGGTTGATAAAATATAGGTTCATGGCGTTGATATCATTTAGTTATTTTCGTAAGATTATCCTAGATAATTAAGATTATTGAAACTCAAACAATTTAATTCACCGTTTTTATTTTTGGTTTTTGTAACATGTAAGATATGTCGAAATATACAAAAATCGGTCTTAAAGTAAAACACGATCAACAAACTCGTTCTTAAACAATATAAAAAAAACATTCAAAAAAAACGAGATACATAATAAAGATAAAAAATAATTTTATTCCTATATACATGTATGTATCTTAATAAAGTAAACTGTAAACGTAAACAATCAATAATATAAGTTAATATAATAATTAATATTTAATTTATTAATAATAATTACGTATTTCACGATATCTCATTTAAAAAAAAAGATTTAATTTTTTATTATTTTGGTATACTTACATTTTGATTTTTCTTTCTAAAAGCACCGTGCTTATTTTTCTTTTTAATTAAAAAGAATCAACTAATTTTTATTCAATTATTTAATTTCAAGTAATCATTTTTAATTTTTTGGGTGGATTCCAATTCCCTTTTAATCTTTTCGATATCGCAAATAGAATTAGTCAATAGTTTACTTTACACCAATCGTTTTTTATTATTATTTTTATAGTTTTAACACGTTGACCACTTTGTAATTTTAATTAATTGATGTGGTAATCAGATTTCAACGTGTTAAATGAATCCAACGTTATTTTATTTAATGAAACGATCGGTGCCATCGTTATTTATCACATATACGAGTAATCAACAATTCAGACTTTTCGATATTATAGTTATTATTTTATTATTAACGATAACTGCGTGTTACGTAGAGCGAATATTGTTTACAGTTATTAGTTTATTAATTGTTTTTTTATTTATTTTTACCTATTAAATCGTTACACACAACTTGACTTGTTAAAATTTTTTTTTAATTGTACACGTACACCTAAACTAACGATATTCATTTTTGATATTTATTATTTGGTCAAGTTTTTCCTAAATCGATTATGACGTAACAAAAAAATACTTAATAACAAAGAAAAAATAATTAATCTTTTTGTATTTATGACTAGATTATGATTTAAAATATATTTTAAATTAAAACTAAAAAGGTACTGAACTTTTTTGGTTATTAAATTAACGATTTTTTTTGAATTAAAACTTAAAACCCGGTAACTTTTTTATATTATGGTGAGAAAACCCTTAAACTTCTTAAAAGAGTCGTTAATACGTTAGCTAAACTTTCAGCTTCGGCCGCGAGGTGTTCTTCAATTTTACTTTGTGATGATCGATCGATGTTCGACGATATCAAATGGCGGAAAGCCGAGGTTACATCGTGAACTTTCAGTATTAAATTACGTGTTTGCAATGGCGCAGTTGTGTGATTTGACAAATCCTGACACAATTCCGTTAATCTTCTTAGTATTGTCAAACAAACCGCTAAATTCTCGGGTAAATCCGGTAAATTTGGATTTGACATCGCTATCACCAACATTTTACTCGAATGGACCAATTGTAATGATTGCGTTGTTAATTCATCTTTAGCAATCTAAAAGAAAAAAATGTTTTATCCCAAAAATCTTTAATTAAAAAAAAAAAGAATTCGTTAACAGCTAATAATTTTTTAGTACCTGAAACTTTTCTTCACACATATATTTACCACCTCCATGTATTTGAGCCGCATTACACTGAGCAGCAACTTGATCTAATCTCACCAACAAACTAGCCATGGCAACATCTGTTTTGCTGAGCAAATTTTCTCGGTTTGAAACGCATCCGTTTTTAACAGGTGAATTCGAGGGAGTTCCGTTAAGAAGTTGCTTGGCGTGCTCGAATTTGTCTTTACATCTGGGGCTTTTACAGAATGATCTGGGGGATGGCATTCGGGAATCGGATAAACTTCTAGCGTGATGCATGCTACATGTTGGTGGTGGAGGTGGAGTCGGAATTTCGTTGTTATACTCGGGGGAGTCTAAAGGAGGTGGTGCTACCGTCATTTGTGCTCCTCTACCTGTAAAGAATTTTTTAATTCTACAATGTTTAAACAAATGGAAATAAATGGAATGGTGTGTTTTTATTACCAAGTAACAATGTTATCTGAATATACACCATTAGGAAGAAGATGCCAAAATTTACTGGACATAGATGGAGTTGAAATCGAGGTAGAAATATATGTGGTTCCGAATCATTATCAAAAAGACGCCATAATTGTAGGAAATAGTGCTTTTACGACCTAAATATTAAAATAATTAAACATGGAAATTCTTTGCATCACTCCTGGAGCCGAGGATGAACTCATTTTAGAAAAGACAGAATGAAAGCAAGAAATAAACGAAGAAACAATAATGAATGACGAAGAATACGACAGCAAAGAAGAAGACGAAAATATAGAAAATGAATGCTCGATCCCATAGAATCTGATGTAAACGAAGACCTTAGTCAAGAAGTCAAGCAAAGATTAAAAGAACTAACCAAGAGACTAATTTTGACGATATACAATCCAGAAGCAGATTTTGAAATCCATACCGATGCCTGCAAGATGGGAATAGCTGGAATACTATTTCTGAAGTGATATTGCCACGTTATTGCGATATTTGAATAGAAATGAAATTAATAAGAAAGCTGATAAAATATGTCAACTTATTTGGATCCAAGATACAAAATGAACTTTTTTGATGCTGATTTAACTCACGAAGCAACTTTAAAAAGAGGATACTTTAATTAATAATCGAAACTGATAACAGCGATAGTTCTGTTAGTAATTAATGTGGTGATGAATTACAAGTGTAGAGAAAAAACTAGACGAAACTGCAACAAGAGATTTTATACATCGTATTGGGATTGTTACAATGAGGTTGCTAATGACAAACCTGATATAAAAAAAGTCCTATTGGGGTTGAACTTGATTATTATCTGCAGTGTCCAAAATCTAAAAGAGATACTAATTCTTGTGAATGGTGGAGTACTAAGTAATAGGTTTTTAACATCTGGCCGGATACCGGATAGTTGCCCGATATCCGTTTCACCACTAATTGAAACCATCAGTCGACATACAACGGAATTGGAGAGTCGATATCACAGCTACGAATTCGAAATTCCAGCTGTTACAGAGACCTTAGAAAGATTTCGAACGTACGTACTATGTCGAGAATTCAAAGTGGTAAGTGATTGTAATTCTTTAAAGACCATCATGGCTTGATTCCAAGAATAGCAGGATGGGGTTTGAAACTCCAAGAATAGGATTTCAACATTGAATATCGCCCAGGAACTCAGATGGCTCATGTAGATGTTACACTATTTAGATGGGTAGGAGTCCAAATGAAGAATCAGACGAAGCTAAGATAGCAACCTTGAACGTATTAACAGTACAAACTGATGACCAAAATCCTGTATTGAATGTGCATACCATAAAGTTACAGGGAAAAAGCAGATAGATTTGCATATCATAGAACGACTACCTTTTCATGCCATTAACGTTGACCATTTAGGACCTTACCCCATAAGTAGAAAAAGAAATACCTACTTATTAGTTTGTGTAGATAACTTCACAAAATATGTTATTATCCGAGCGGTGAGAAATACGAAGAGTAAACCGACGATAGAAATTATGACAGAAATTACTGGAATCTTTAGTAGTCCAACAAGACTTATAAGTTATAACAGATAGAGGAACTGCTTATACGTCGTGCGATTTTGAAAATTTCTGCAAAAAAAAATGATATCCAACATATCAAGAATGCAACTGCAACCTCGAGAGCCAACGGACAAGTAGAAAGATTCAACCGTACGATAATGACTGCATCAGGAAGATGAACAAGAATGGGACACGAAGTCACGATAAATCCAGTTCGCTTTAAACAACATCAGGAACAGAACTACTCAGAAGACACCTCATGAACTATTGCTTGGGTTTCTGTCCCGAAACATTTTACAAAACCGCGTCATAATGGCTCTCAAAGAAGACTAAAACGTGTCAAATATTGATAAACAAAACGATTTCAGAAAGAGAAAAGTAATAAGAAGTACCAAAAACCTCGAAAGTACCAAGAGGGCGATCTAGTATTGATTAGGCGGGAAATGGCGGCTACGGGACAACCCAGAAAGATGATGCCATCTTATAAAGGACCGTATCTAGTAAACACCGTTCTGGGAAATGATAGATATCATTTAATCAACAAACCCAGCGAAAGTTCGGTTCAATTTTTGTTGCAGACTTCATAAAAGCATGGTGCCAAATGCCAGATGACGTCGACGATGGAATCGAGGACGATTCGTCAGGTAGCGAAGCCGAATATAACAACCAACGACACCTATTGAATATTTTGATGTCATAAGACAAGTACCGATCAATAAAAGAAGAAGAAGTTGCGAGATAAGAGCGTAGTGTTGCCAAACGTACGATAATTATCGTACATGTTCAATTATTTCAATTCATACACAATCATACATTCATACTCATTATCGTACGATAATTTGGAACATCTATAATTTTCAACACAACTTTATTTTTTATAAGAAATTTGCACAACTCTATAAACGAATTTTTTTTTGTGAATTCTGCAACTCTTTATACGTATATGTGTTGTCTCCAGTCTCGAGATTCCGATAAATCACCTCAAGTTGACATTGAGATGACCAGGGCCATACTAACAATAAGATCATTTTGGACGTTGTCTTTTGCAGAAGTTGGTCTTGGGGCGAACAGATGGTTCAACTGGCTTGCGAACAAGCCAACCACATAGCCAAGGCAATAAAGGAACTTTGCCTGGNATGGTGACGTCGACGATGGAATCGAGGACGATTCGTCAGGTAGCGAAGCCGAATATAACAACCAACGACACCTATTGAATATTTTGATGTCATAAGACAAGTACCGATCAATAAAAGAAGAAGAAGTTGCGAGATAAGAGCGTAGTGTTGCCAAACGTACGATAATTATCGTACATGTTCAATTATTTCAATTCATACACAATCATACATTCATACTCATTATCGTACGATAATTTGGAACATCTATAATTTTCAACACAACTTTATTTTTTATAAGAAATTTGCACAACTCTATAAACGAATTTTTTTTTGTGAATTCTGCAACTCTTTATACGTATATGTGTTGTCTCCAGTCTCGAGATTCCGATAAATCACCTCAAGTTGACATTGAGATGACCAGAGCCATACTAACAATAAGATCATTTTGGACGTTGTCTTTTGCAGAAGTTGGTCTTGGGGCGAACAGATGGTTCAACTGGCTTGCGAACAAGCCAACCACATAGCCAAGGCAATAAAGGAACTTTGCCTGGAATCATCTCTGGAGTCCACATATCATAGTAAAGGAGAAAGAGTTGCGGAAATTATCAGTAGAAACAGAGCAATGCGCATAAGACCCACTTCCCCAACTGGAACTGATTTTGATGAAAAAAATACAATTAATGGTACAATGGTTGCTTCACAATATATTTCTAGGAACGGTGGTAGCAATAAATTTAATTCATCAAATGATTTCACAAATCAAATGAGTAGTAGCATGTATACTGATATTTGTAATTCATATTCGAATTAATTACTATTATAATATGTATTAGTAGTATTAATACCGAAAATTTCATTTAACTCGTAATATATGGATGCAGTAACCATAGTTCCAAAACTATTGTACACTTGCACTGTCCCACATAAAATGCTTCTTCTTCTTCTCCCAATCCTTATGCCTGATGGCGTCGAATAAAATGCAACGTAGCTTAATAGTACAGACTTGGAAAAGGTGACGTCTTTATGACAACCCTGAGTTTCGACCGTCTTAATAACCGCACGGCTAAACCCAAGTGTTTCTGATTCTTATAGTTCTAGTTCTAGTGCATTACTAGAACTAACACTAGACCAAGAACTAGAAATATTCGGGTTTAGCCGCAGGTCTCTCAAGACGGCTAAACCCAAATGACTCTAATTCTTGGTCTTGTGTTAGTTCTAGTGACAGTGCTAGTGTAAAACTAGAACTAACACTAGACCGTGAACTAGAAACATTCGGGTTTAGCCGCACGTCTGTCAAGACGGCTAAACCCGAATGATTCTATACCTTTTTAAGCACAAATTGGCACTAATCAGAATCAAAATGATAGAGTCAAAATCAAATTGGCATTAGTCAAAATCAAATTGACAATAATCAAAATTAAAATGGCATTAGTCAATATCAAATTGGCAATAAACAATATCATATTGGCATTAATCAACAAATTTAGCACTAATCAAAAGCAAATCAGCATTAAACAAAATCAAAATGACATTAGTCCATATCATATTGGCACTTATGAATTTTAAATTGACATGGAAATAAAATTATATATCAGCATTAAATAAAATGAAATGGGCAAAAACATTTTATTGACTTACAAACACAGTAGATAACAATTATATTACTTAAAAAAGTAGGTAACGTTATGTTTTAAATAACACTCTTAAAAATTTATATCTTGCATATTCAATGCAGAAGGGATAAATCGTTGGATGTGGACAATAAACATTGCGCAATTGGCAACAGTAATCTTGTCCATATTATTATGAACGGTGTTCTCTAATTTCTGCATTCGATATTATGTTTGAGTCAGATGATCCCGGTCAGCACCGGCCAAGATGTTATTTAGCTGTACAGCCATATCTGCTTTTACTCCTGCTTTTAATGCAGACCACGCTTGTTCAATAGGATTAAACATAGGGCTTTACGGACTTAGTCGTAAAAGTGTGTGGTGTTCAAATTCGTTTTCTGCAAAAACCTCTTCAATAGTAGAGTGGCATGGAGCATTATCAATAACTAATGCAACTCCAGTTTGGTAAAGGCCTTGCGCTCTTCTTAGGCATTGCCTCACAAATTCATTTGCTTCCGGCTTCTTGAAAGAGCCCCGACGTAGTTCGGAATGAATTAGCCCCATGTTTCCAATGCATCCTATTAGGTGAATATTCGACCCTCTGCAACCTGCAGACACTGTTGTGCAGCGAGTCCCTTTTTTTGAACGACCCTGAGTCCGCGATATGAACAAATTAAAGTTTGTCTCGTCCATGTATATGATAGGTATATTTTGTGCTTGAAGATCCAATAAATTTTCTACATAAATACTCCTGCTTGTTTTCGTTTGAATACTATTCGCGTTCTCTGGTTCTCTACGAGCAGTCTTCAAAGTAAACATCAATCCATTGAGATGCTGTCGAACGCATTCGTTGGAGACATTGAGTGCAAAATCTTCACGGATTTTTTCACTCAGTCCTTTAAGAGTAATTTTAGGATTTTCTTCGACTGAACGTTCCATGAATTGACGGTGCTCATCAGTTATTTTAGCTCTACGTTTACCTCCTCGCTGCTTTTCCGGTTGTTCTTGGTTGTTAACCCATCGATACGCGGTTCTTTTTGGCACCTGTAGTACGTTTGCAAGATTACGCCAGTCACCATTGGCATTATACAAAGCGCAAATCTGTGTCCTCAGATTTGCAGCAGCATTTTTCTTTAAATAAGGCATCTCGTGTGAATATAATAGTTGAAATCTCGCAATAAATTACCATAAACTTGACAATAACCGATAAGTTAACAATTGTTTGACACCGATTTATACATTTATTTTTCATGCCATCTTGATATTGTTTGGTGCCAATATGATATGGACTAATGTCATTTTGATTTTGTTTAATGCCAATTTGCTTTTGATTAGTGCTAAATTTGTTGATTAATGCCAATATGATATTGTTTATTGCCAATTTGATATTGACTAATGCCATTTTAATTTTGATTATTGTCAATTTGATTTTGACTAATGCCAATTTGATTTTGACTAATGCCAATTTGAAATTGACATTGCCAATTTGATTTTGACTAATGTCATTTTGATTCTGATTAGTGCCAATTTGAGCTTGAAAAGGTATAGTTCTAGATCTTGTGTTACTTGTAGTGATAGTGCTAGTGCAAAACAGCAAAAAAGTTTTAATTCAATGAAAATAACAAGCAACATAATGATAGCTAGTGCTAACTAGCGCTACTTTGCATTGTCACTAGCACTAACACTAAACCTAGAACTAAAAACATTCGGGATTAGCCGCACGTCTCTCAAGACGGCTAAACCCGAATGTTTGTAGATCTAGGTCTTGTGTTACTTCTAATGATAGTGCTAGTGCATTACTAGAATTAACACTAGATCGAGAACTAGAAACATTCGGGTTTAGCCGCACGTCTCTCAAGACGGCTAAACCCGAATGTTCGTAGTTCTTAGTCTTGTGTTAGTTCTAGTGATAGTGCTAATGTAAAACTAGAACTAACACTTGTCCTAGAACTAGAAACATTCGGGTTTAGCCGCACGTCTCTCAAGACGGCTAAACTCAAATGATTCTAGTTGTAGGTTTTGTGTTTGTTCTAGTGATAGTGCAAGTGCATTACTAGAACTAACACTAAACCGAGAACTAAAAATATTCGGGTTTAGCCGCACGTCTCTCAAGACGGCTAAACCCGAATGATTCTAATTCTAAGACCTAGAATGTGTTAGTTCTAGTGATAGTGCTAGTGTAAAACTAGAACAAACACTAGACTGAGAACTAGAAACATTCGGATTTAGCCCCACGTCTCTCAAGACGACTAAACTCGAATATTTGTAGTTCTAGGTCTTGTGTTAGTTCTAGTGATAGTGGTAGTGCAAAACTAGAACTAACACTAGACCTAGAACTAGAAAGTTTTGGGTTTAGCTGTGCGTCTTTAGTATAATGTTGTTCTGATTGGTTCTCTTCAATCAAACGACCTAAAATTAACTAATATCCTTGGATTTCTAGTTAAGCAAAAAATTATCACATAAATACCTTTCTGACATTCATGATATTAATTGTTACTTGGTTTCTTTGTAAAAACAGTTTCAGGAAAAAATCTAACACAACTTACCTAAATATGGCGATGTTGGAGTACTAACAGCAGTACTACAATGATTCAATCTAGTTTTATCCTCACCAAACTTACTTTCTATATCATTATAAACGTTTCTATTTCTTTGTAAATGGGGTGATCCAATTCCAGCTGTCCTACCTTCAGTTTTAGGTGGTGGAGCAGCTCCTTTCCGACTTCTGATAGTTTCCAAAGGTGGAACCGGGGGAAGCGGCGGTTTCTTCGGCGGCAAAAATAAATGCGGCGGCGCTTGAGAATTTATTTCACCTTTCGGAGGTAATTTCGGCGGGGAGTCATCGCCGAAAGTTGTTTCGCTAAACGGAGCTTTACTGAAACTAATTTCTTTCGGAAGATGAGAAGTTAGCGAATGACTTCTTTGACGTTCTTGGGAGTTTATATTTTTTGGCGGCCGAGCAGGTGGAGTTTCGTTCGATGATCGTCTCGGTGGCGGTTGAATATCTTTATTTTCGATATTTTTTTCTTTCGTTTTTGAGCAACAAGAAAACGCGCCTTTTCTATCAACAGTTGCGTATTCGATAACATTTTCATTTGATGACGAAATACTGTTTCTTCGACGTGGTGGGGTGTCGTAATTACTTGATAAGGTTAAGTTTTCGATACTGTTTTTTGATAATGGGGGTGGCGGGATGATGTAACTCATAATTTCTTCGGGGGTTAATTCAACAGCTGGGGTGACTTTTTGGGTTGGAGGTGGAACGGTTACGCTTGCTAAAAATTCTTCTAGATCGAGATTTTCATGCAATACCCCTAATTTATTGAGTTTTTCGACGGAATCCGCGAAAGAACTGGGTGGGATGTTGATTGTTGTTGTATCTTGGATGTCGATTGAATCTAATTCATCTGGAGTCGCTGGGGGCGGTAAAAACGTTAAATCGATTATGTCAGGATCGAAAACGTACAAATCTGATATGTTATCTTCGATATCTTGTTCATCACTTGTCGTTTTTTCTTTTAATTGGAGTAAATATGTTTTTAAGTCTTGAGAATCACCAATTGGATTATCTGGGCTATGTAACCCGAAACTAATCCTCGAAATTTTTTTTGAATTATTATTAATCATTGGAAGATTTTTATGTTTTGGTGAATTATTTGGAGTGTAAAGCGAGTCGTTATCACTTTCTGACGCGTTTAATTCCGATCTTAACATCTCAATTGCTGCGTTTGTGAAGATTTTGTTATTTTCGGTGCACCCTTTTGTTAATAATAACAAAGAATCGCTATGTTTTAATGTACCCTCATCAAAAATGCTATCCGTATCGCTTTCGATATCAACACTACTTTCTTGCCATTCAGCTGAAAAATTTAATCGTTCCAATTGTTCTTGTTCAGTTAAATATTTTTCGGAGTTTTCAACTAATTGTTGCATTTCTTGCACCCTCTTAATAATCTCTTCGTTTTTGGCTTCGTGTAAAACCCCGCTTTCTAAAATTTCCATCGAAACGACGCTGTGTAAATCGTAACTATTTCCGCTTAAAGAACTTTTACAAGATTCTTTATTACCACAATGATTCCGATTGGAAATATTACTATTCATATTATTATCTAAACTCAATCCAATGTTACTTAAATGTTTATTACTACGTCCCATCGTGTTATAAAGCCCATTAGTTTTCTTATTAATCGTTTGATAATGCGGCGATGACGCAAAACACATCGTTCTCATTTGATTTTGATTGATGTAACTCCACTTTTCCGGTATAATTTTGTGCTGGGCCAAATACGGTGGGGCTAAATCTTCGATTGGTGGTGTTTGTTCTTTTTCAACGTTTAATTGCTCGCCGGTTAATAACCGATAATAACCTTTTAAAACTAAAACTAACTCGTTTGCGTCTCTTTCTTCTAAAGAGATTTGTATTGTTTGGTCGTTTTTTAATCGGATTAGAACCGAACGGAATACTTCATCCTCTGAACGAACTTCGCAACATTTCATATCTTCTATATTAGCTATTGGTGTGGGCTGTAATTAAAAAAAAATGATTATTTTCATATTTAAAAAAAATCGAGACATTATTTGCCCGGTTTTTTTTTGCAGCTGAGGGATTATGTTCTGACGAACAATTATGACATTTTTTGTTTACCTGAGACTTGGCAGTATTACAAGGATGTGAGGAATTAAGTGAAAAGAGTCATAACTCGAGAAAGAAAAGTGTACTTCAATTATTGTATGATATCATAATCAAATGCTTGGGTAGGATTGCGTAAATGTGGTATTCTAACTCATTCCACCAGTAGAATTCCTGAACATCTTGCTGATACTAATCAAAGTAATGATTACTTGGCGAATGTGAGCATTGAATTAAATTTGAATTGGTAAGAAGTCAGGATATAGAAAGGATTGTCAATTCCATAAAAAACAATGCTACTAGACTAGATGGACTCAAGTAGAGTATTATCGCCGGTTTTGAAGCCGAAGTGAAGTCACAGCGTGTTAAATTTGAAATTCGAGACGTTACGCGCTAAACTTATAAGTATAGGGAGCGGTGCCAACCTAAACTTGGGAGAAAAAAAATTCGGTTAGTATTGAATCTGGTGATTTTTTTAAAAAAGGATATCAAAATGATTAACAACTGTTGTTGTCCTTACGTGATTCCTCACATAAACGATATTGTCAATTGTTGCATTTTGAACTGCAAATTCCCTTCCATATGGAAAAAGGTAAGGATAATACCGCTTCTCAAAAATAAAAATTCGAATACTTTTGCTGATTTAAGACCGATTAGCATTTTACCGGTGTTGGAAAATGTTATGTGCGAACAATTAAAGACAAAAATTTATAATTAAATTATAATTAAATTTATAAAAACGAATTGTTGCCTGAGGTGCAATCTGGTTGCATGGCTGAACATCGTAGATGATATCCTGAGGGCATCTGATGGCCGTAAAGTAACCGCGCTGTGTTTACTTGATTGCTCTAAAGCTTTTGACAGAATGAATCATAAACTTTTATCTTCAATTTTAATCCATATTGGATTAAGTCAATAGACTTAATGATCGACTACTTATCAAACAGAGTACAGCAGGTTAAAATCGGATGTCCACAGGAATCTATACTATCTCCCTTCTTATATAGCATAGTTATTTTGTTCTAGTTCTAGTCTAATAGTGTTTAGTAATAATTTTCGAAAATCAACAATTTTGATGTTTAATCGATTTAGAACTTATAAATAAAAAATGGTAATAATTGGGTTCCATCTTTTTATGGATCTAGTCTTTATGGTCCATTACCAAGGTTTTATGTATAAAAAATATTTTCCCATCGCTTTTATTTTATGAGTTATGATATGATTGAGTTAATTTTCGAAAATCAACAATTTTGATGTTGAATCGATTTAGAGCTTATAAATAAAAAATGGTAATAATTGGGTTCAATCTTTTTATGGATCTAGTCTTTATCGCCCATTACTAAGGTTTTATACATAAAAAGTATTTCCCCATCGCTTTTAGTTTTTGAGTTATGATTGAGTTAATTTTCGAAAATCAACAATTTTGATGTTGAATCGATTTAGAGCTTATAAATAAAAAATGGTAATAATAGGGTTCAATCTTGTTATGGATCTAGTCTTTATGACCCATTACTAAGGTTTTATGCATAAAAAGTATTTCCCTATAGCTTTTAGTTTATGAGTTGTGATTGAGTTAATTTTCGAAAATCAACAATGTTGATGTTTAATCGATTTAGAGCTTATAAATAAAAAATGGTAATAATTGGGTTTAATCTTGTTATGGATCTAGTCTTTATGGCCAATTACTAAGGTTTTATGTATAAAAAGTTTTTCTCCATCGCTTTTAGTTTTTGAGTTATGATTGAGTTCATTTTCGAAAATCAACAATTTTGACGTTTAATCAATTTAGAGCAATGGTGTTCACTAAGTTTTGATCAAAATCGACTTTTTATATAAATGTCTTACCAAGATCGAGCAAAAGGTTTAAAGTAACCTTTTTTAATAGATTGTGTTAATTAATAAGAAAGTGTATAACACTTATTAAATTAGTTCATGTATTGTCACCTTCTTGAAATAATTTTTGTAATTATTACCTTTGTTATGGGACTTATGTCTGTTAGGGTAATAAAGATTATTATTATTATTACTACTTACCACTGAATTTCTCGTTCCAGTAATTTGACTAATCCCAAATTTTGGACTGACTAAAATCACCCTTTCCATCGTGTCAGCTTTAGGTCCGGCCGAAAAACATTTGGCCCCATAACTCGGAAGTTGACTAACAATATCCAAATAATGTAATTTCGCTTGTAACGGCGTTAAATGTTTCCCGGAACCCGCCATATTGGAATGTAACTTTAAAAAGTGTCCAACCACTTTTTTCACTTCTTTTCGTTTCATCTTTTCAAGTAACGAAGCCGGTACGAATCTCTCCAACCCGAATTCTCTTCTAAAAATAATCGATTAACAAAAAATTCTTTTTTTAATTATTATTAAAAATGTTACTCGACTATTTTAACGTTGAGTTTAGACGCTGCCATATTATTAGCTAATGCATGTTGATAAATATGCAACGCGGCTAAACGTAAAGCGGTATCATAGTGAAGTTCGGGCGCGAAACGTTCCTGGATGACATCATTACAACATTGCGTGAATAAATAATCGAGCGCCGCCAAGTCTTGTTGCGCTAAATCAGCGGCGGATGTTGGAACGAAAGCTATTCGGTATAAACATCGTAATTTGTGTGCTCCCGGTCTAGACGCTATCTAAAAAACAATTTAAATTATTTAAAACAATCATTTAATCAATCATAAATGAATTACCCTTGCTAAAGAATCACTTGGATCAAGTAAAGTTAATTTATTTCTTTTTAACGATTTAATATGTTCAACAACCAGACTAAAGTGTTCTGTGGCGGTTAAACATAATTTCGTTTGGAGGGAAGTTACAACATCATGTACAGTTGTCCAAGCGTCGTATTTGAACGATTTGGTTTGACCATTTTCGAGGAATACTTTTAAAACGTTCGCCATGGGCGGAACACAAAGGTCTCCCAATGAAAACGCGGATGGCTGAAATATAAATTAAATTAGAATTAAAGTGGTAATTGAAAAAAATTAATTTGAATGAAATAATTGGGAAGATTACCGGAAACAAAGGGGCCCCATTAACGCAAACGCTTTCCGCGAAACGAACTCGTGACGGTTTCGATTTTAAACGGGCTCGTTTGCTTGCTGAGAGTAAAGTAGATTTTCTAGCACCGTGTTGTTCAGGCGGTTGGCATACTACTAATTTTACCGTCGATGAACAAGCTCGAACTAGTTGGATAACATGTTCTCGAGGAGCCTTTTTTACATCTTCACCGTTTACCTCCCAAATTTGATCACCAGGAAGTAACTAGAATCATTAAAAAGAATTTGTTAAAAATAAATTTGTAAAATTTTAAAAGGGTTCTTAGAAGTTTTATGGAAAAGTTTTTTAAGGGGGAAATAAATGAGTAGAATTAAAGAACATTTCTGTGTAGTTGGTGTACTCGGGGCGATTCCATCCAATAAATATTTACTAAAGTAACTCAACCGAAACGAAAGACCTGTTTTCAGGATTAAACTGGAACGTAAAGTTGAATATAGTCAATGTTGAAGGGGTTTTCGTTCCCTAGGGACAATTTCGCGGCTCGTTTAACAATTCTTTGATATTTCTTTATGAAAATAAATATTATTTCGTTTTGATTCATTATTTCAAAACTACCTGTTAGATTATATACATTTAACATGGCTAAACCAGAATGTTTCTGGTTCTAGATCTAGCGTTAGTTCTACTTTTCGTTCAATAAAAATATACCACAATCTAACACTAAATAATAATTAAAACTAGAACTAACACTAGACCTAGAACTAGAAACATTCGGGTTTAGCATGAGTTAATTTTCGAAAATCAACAATTTTGATGTTTAATCAATTTAGAGCTTATAAATAAAAAATGGTAATAATTGGGTTCAATCTTGTTATGGATCTAGTCTTTATGGTCCATTACTAAGGTTTTATGTATAAAAAGTTTTTCTCCATCGCTTTTAGTTTTTGAGTTATGATTGAGTTCATTTTCGAAAATCAACAATTTTGACGTTTAATCAATTTAGAGCAATGGTGTTCACTAAGTTTTGATCAAAATCGACTTTTTATATAAATGTCTTACCAAGATCGAGCAAAAGGTTTAAAGTAACCTTTTTTAATAGATTGTGTTAATTAATAAGAAAGTGTATAACACTTATTAAATTAGTTCATGTATTGTCACCTTCTTGAAATAATTTTTGTAATTATTACCTTTGTTATGGGACTTATGTCTGTTAGGGTAATAAAGATTATTATTATTATTACTACTTACCACTGAATTTCTCGTTCCAGTAATTTGACTAATCCCAAATTTTGGACTGACTAAAATCACCCTTTCCATCGTGTCAGCTTTAGGTCCGGCCGAAAAACATTTGGCCCCATAACTCGGAAGTTGACTAACAATATCCAAATAATGTAATTTCGCTTGTAACGGCGTTAAATGTTTCCCGGAACCCGCCATATTGGAATGTAACTTTAAAAAGTGTCCAACCACTTTTTTCACTTCTTTTCGTTTCATCTTTTCAAGTAACGAAGCCGGTACGAATCTCTCCAACCCGAATTCTCTTCTAAAAATAATCGATTAACAAAAAATTCTTTTTTTAATTATTATTAAAAATGTTACTCGACTATTTTAACGTTGAGTTTAGACGCTGCCATATTATTAGCTAATGCATGTTGATAAATATGCAACGCGGCTAAACGTAAAGCGGTATCATAGTGAAGTTCGGGCGCGAAACGTTCCTGGATGACATCATTACAACATTGCGTGAATAAATAATCGAGCGCCGCCAAGTCTTGTTGCGCTAAATCAGCGGCGGATGTTGGAACGAAAGCTATTCGGTATAAACATCGTAATTTGTGTGCTCCCGGTCTAGACGCTATCTAAAAAACAATTTAAATTATTTAAAACAATCATTTAATCAATCATAAATGAATTACCCTTGCTAAAGAATCACTTGGATCAAGTAAAGTTAATTTATTTCTTTTTAACGATTTAATATGTTCAACAACCAGACTAAAGTGTTCTGTGGCGGTTAAACATAATTTCGTTTGGAGGGAAGTTACAACATCATGTACAGTTGTCCAAGCGTCGTATTTGAACGATTTGGTTTGACCATTTTCGAGGAATACTTTTAAAACGTTCGCCATGGGCGGAACACAAAGGTCTCCCAATGAAAACGCGGATGGCTGAAATATAAATTAAATTAGAATTAAAGTGGTAATTGAAAAAAATTAATTTGAATGAAATAATTGGGAAGATTACCGGAAACAAAGGGGCCCCATTAACGCAAACGCTTTCCGCGAAACGAACTCGTGACGGTTTCGATTTTAAACGGGCTCGTTTGCTTGCTGAGAGTAAAGTAGATTTTCTAGCACCGTGTTGTTCAGGCGGTTGGCATACTACTAATTTTACCGTCGATGAACAAGCTCGAACTAGTTGGATAACATGTTCTCGAGGAGCCTTTTTTACATCTTCACCGTTTACCTCCCAAATTTGATCACCAGGAAGTAACTAGAATCATTAAAAAGAATTTGTTAAAAATAAATTTGTAAAATTTTAAAAGGGTTCTTAGAAGTTTTATGGAAAAGTTTTTTAAGGGGGAAATAAATGAGTAGAATTAAAGAACATTTCTGTGTAGTTGGTGTACTCGGGGCGATTCCATCCAATAAATATTTACTAAAGTAACTCAACCGAAACGAAAGACCTGTTTTCAGGATTAAACTGGAACGTAAAGTTGAATATAGTCAATGTTGAAGGGGTTTTCGTTCCCTAGGGACAATTTCGCGGCTCGTTTAACAATTCTTTGATATTTCTTTATGAAAATAAATATTATTTCGTTTTGATTCATTATTTCAAAACTACCTGTTAGATTATATACATTTAACATGGCTAAACCAGAATGTTTCTGGTTCTAGATCTAGCGTTAGTTCTACTTTTCGTTCAATAAAAATATACCACAATCTAACACTAAATAATAATTAAAACTAGAACTAACACTAGACCTAGAACTAGAAACATTCGGGTTTAGCTGCACGTTTCTCAAGACGGCTAAACCCGAATGATTCTAGTTCTAGGTCTTGTGTTAGTTCTAGTGATAGTACTAGTGTAAAACTAGAACTAGAAAGTATCGGGTTTAGCTGTGCGTCTTCAGACAATACATGTGATAAACCGAAATTGTGACCAAAAGTCAAATGCCTTTTTTACAAAGAATCAGAATAAGGAAGTGTGTTATAAATGTGGGATATAACCCAGGGAAATGGCCTGGGTTATAAACCAGGCCATTTCAGGAAAGATTGTCGTTAGGTTGGTGAAGGCAAAGGTTTATGGAAACGAGGTAGAATGCAGCAGCAATAGAACAACTGAGGATATTTCAGCCAACGAAGAGGTAATAATAGAGGTGGATAGCGTGGTCGAGATGAACAACATAGTTTAAGAGATAAGCATTGTCACGGCGGAAGAGGTTATGGAATGTACAGTTTTTATAAGCAAGTCCAAACTAGTGGTGGAACGAATATCTGGCTTTGGCCGGATATTAAAAACCTATTACTTAGTACACCACCATTCACAGGACTATAATAAGCATTTTATTGTTTTTTAATATTAACAATTTTCCCTTTAATACATTCTAATCTATATTATTAACATATTATTTTCACCCTCTACCCTCTTCCTCCATTTCCACACCCTCGGCTCCTCGGCCCAATCATCCCCTCATCCATCCCTTTGTCTCCTCACCCCCACAACCATTCTCATCCTTCGTTTCCCCTCTCCCCCCTCTCCTAAGATCTGCCCTCGGTCCAACTCCTCTTCCCTCAACTCACTGCACCCATTCAACATATGTTCCAACGTTTCCCATTCCTCCCTGCATAGCCTACAACACCTCTCCTCATCGGCCATCCAGTATCTGTCAGCTCTCTCCTCGTTTCCACAACGTAACCTAGCCACCAACTTCTTCCCTTCCTCATCTCCTTCCAATAACAAGTATCTAGGCAGCCCCTCCGTAATTATGTCCCTGTACCTTTCGTTATACCTTCCCTCTTTTATTTGTGTCCTTCTTTCCTGTCTCTGCACATCTCGGTCCCTATCTCTCAACTCCCTCCACATCTCCCTCCCCACCCTTCGTCTACTATTTATCTCAGTTACCGAGTAGCCCGCTCGTCTATAATAGTTGTCTCTGTCGACCGGTCCCTCTCTAATTTCCCTCCAACACTCCCCCAGGATCCCGCAGCTTGGCCTCCCTTCTATTCTTTCTTCGTATTTCACTGCCCTCCTGCCCGCCTCCACTCTGACCTTATCCACCTTTACCTCTTCCCTCACTATATACCCCGGTGTTTCTCTCGCCACCCCAAGCATCCATCTCCAATATGTAGCTTGCACGTCCTCCAGCATTGCCTGCTCTCTCCATCCCCATACCTCTGCCCCATACATCATCACACTGCTAACCAGACCTTCAAACATAATCTTCCTCGCTGCCACATTCCTTCCAAAGACTCTCTTCCCCCAACCCCCTACTTGTTCCATCCCCTTATTCACCTTTTTTGCCATAGCTATCACATGCGACCCGTTGTCCTCCCTAAACCCATACCCCAAGTAAGTATACTCCCTAACCTCCTCGATCTCGTTTCCCTCCCATCTCCAGCTTTCTGTTCTTTTTCTCCCACCCTTACAAAACTTCATCATCCTTGTCTTCCCCACATTCAAATGTCTCCAATGTCTTTATCATATCCTTCATCTCCGCCGCTTCTCTCGCCATGACTACGATGTCATCCGCGTATGCTAACATATGCACCATTCACAGGAATTAGTATCTCTTTTAGGTGTTTTAAGTTCATAGCTTGTAATTCGTCATCATATTCATTACGAACAGAACTGCCGCTGTTATCAGTTTCGATTATTAATTAAAGTATCCTCTTTTTAATGCAACAAGCCGTTTTGAAAAATCACTTTTAGTTCTTGAGAAATAAATTTTTGAAACAATCGATCTTTGTAATTTCCACCTATTAAACTTTAATAATTCATATAAAATTCATTTCTTGGAATATGAGTATGAAAATTTCCCAAAGTGTTAATAAAAGTGTCCTCTTTCCAATGAACCATCCTGTTTTGAAAAATAACTTTTAGTTTTTGAGAAAACAATATTTGAAGTTTCGATAAAATTTTTGATTTTGCAATTTTCATTGATAATTTTCAAAATTCGCTATAAAATTCATTTCTTGAAGGATACTTGTGGAAATATCACCAATTACTAATTAAAATATCCTCTTTTTATTGGAAAAAGCCGTTTTGAAAAATTACTTTCAGTTCTTGAGAAATAAATTTTTGAAATGACCGATAATTTTTTCGAATTTTGCAATTTTCGCCAACAAAGTTTTAATAATTCGTATAAAATCCAGTTCTTGGAATAGGAGTATGAAAATTTCCCAAAATGTTAACAAAAGTGTCCTCTTTGCAATGAACAAACCCGTTTTGAAAAATAACTTTTAGTTTTTGAGAAAACTATATTTGAAGTTTTGATAAAATTTTCGATGTTGCAATTTTCATCGATAATTTTCAAAATTCGCTATAAAATTAATTTCTTGAAGGATCCTTGTGGAAATATCACCAATTATTAATTAAAGTATTCTCTTTTTAGTGCAATAAGCCATTTTGAAAAATCACTTTCAGTTCTTGAGAAATACATTTTTGAAATGATCGACAATTGTTTCGAATTGTGTAATTTTCGCCGATTAAGTTTTAAAAATTCGTATAAAATCCAGTTCTTGGAATATGAGTATGAAAATTTCCCAACGTGTTAACAAAAGTGTCCTCTTTCCAATGAACCTACCCGTTTTGAAAAATAACTTTTAGTTTTTGAGAAAAATATATTTGAAGTTTTGATAAAATTTTCGATGTCGCAATTTTCATCAATAACTTGCAGAATTCGCTATAAAATTAATTTCTTGAGGGATCCTTGTGGAAATATCACCAATTATCAATTATAGTATCCTCTTTTTAATGCCAAAAGCCGTTTTGAAAAATCACTATTAGTTCTTGAGAAATAAATTTTTGAAATGATCGACAGTTTTTTGTATTATGCAATTTTCGCCGATTAAGTTTTAAAAATTCGTATAAAATCCATTTCTTGGAATATGAGTATGAAAATTTCCTAAAGTGTTAACAAAAGTGTCCTCTTTCCAATGAACCAACACGTTTTGAAAAATAGCTTTTAGTTTTTGAGACAACAATATTTGAAGTTTTGATAAAATTTTCGATGTTGCAAGTTTCATCGATAATTTTCTAAATTCGCTATAAAATTAATTTATTAAAGGATCCTGGAAATATCGCCAATTATTAATTAAAGTATCCTCTTTTTAGAGTTGCTTCGTTAGTTAAATCGGCATCAAGAAAGTTCATTTTGTATCTTGGATACATAAGTTGACATATCTTAACAGCTTTCTTATTAGTTTCATTTTTATTCAAATATCGCAATAATGTGGCAATACATATAGGGTATCACTTCAGAAATGCACCACAAATTATAACCATAATGGCCGGATAGATATGCCGGATAACCGGATATCCGGCCAAAGGGGATGCCGAATATCTGCTATCCGGCTTTACAAAAATATATCAAAGGTAAACATTTCAAAAATTTATAACAAACATAATCAATTAATTGTAATTGCTACGAACGAGGGTAGATTATATAAAATGACAAGTATGATTAAAAATAAGGAGCTTAATATTGAAAATAGTAATACTAAAATTGATATGACATTAAACAAAGAAGAAGATCAAGAATTGAGAAGATCAAAGAGAGAAAGGAAAATGCTGGCTAGACATGATGATAGTTATGTTTATGTGAACTTTTGCAATGTTGAAAATCCAAATAATTTTGAGGAGGCGATAAATAGTAATCAGGCAGAACAGTGGAAACTAGCTACAAATAAGGAAATGGAATGTTTAAAGAAAAATAAAACTTGGAAATTGTAACAGTAGCTAAAATGCAAACTTTAAAAATATTGTTATCATATTGCTGCTAGGAGAAATTAACTATAGAACAAATGGACGTAGAAACTGCTTTCTTGCATGGTAAGATTTTTTCAGAAATATATGTAAATTAAGCTAAAAGATTGGAGGATGGGACAGACAGAGTTTGTAAAAAAAAGTACAAAAACGTAACGAACAAGTAGGTTATATATTAACTACACTGTGTTAATTAATTATCGTACCCGACGTCATCATTGCAAGTATGCAACCCAATACGCAAGTCGCGTATTGCAATACCAATACTGTGATATTGGTTGCATACTTGTAATGATAATAATATATAACGTTTTTTTTTGTTGAAATTATTAAAAATACGACAAGTTTATAAAAAGATCACGCATTATTTCAACACTACCAACAATTTTTTTTTCACTTAACTTACCTTATCTACACTTGGTCCTCCTTCAGTAACGAACCTTACTATCACAGGTTTTTCTGAACCAGCAACGAAACCGAATCCCAAAGCAGGGGAACGTTCCAAAACAACACATCTCGGTTCAGGTTCCACAGTTGGTTCCAAATTACGAACAGCCGGCGTTTCATATGTGGTCGTTTTGTTTACATGACTGCAAAATCAGATTTAATTTAATCATTTTTTAGCTTTAAAATAACAATTAAAGTTAACAAAGTTTCTATCGTATTTTAAATCGAGATGAAGGGTTTCTATTTTATTGAGCACCTTTTTATTAGGTACAAAAGCTCGGGGAGCCATTAATATTACACGGGAACTAAAACCCAACGGGAATCGGTTCCACCGAAAAGGGACACTTTAGAGACGTCTTCCTCTCTCTATCTATCACTCGCTTTCTTTTCGGTTGTGCTAGAAAAGTGGAAGGTATTGTGCACTTGGGAAGACGGCCGAACAAATTGGAACTATCTCGGAAAGTTGCAATTTGCGGGTATAAATAAGGTTCTTGGATCTAAAGAGAGGAGAATGGAGCGATCGTGAAACTGTGAGAAGGTTAAAAGGAGGGAGGAAAATAAAGTTGAAAATTGTGTAAAGTCTTACTTGATATAGTAGGGTCTTCCCGAGTCATCTACCGCCCTTTCCCAACCGTAAGGTAATAAGTCTTCGCCGTTTTTCCATGCTTCAACCGGTGGAAGCCAACCAGCCGTTTTTGTCACGTGACTGCAACAAAATAAATTTTTATCATTACGAATTATTTAACCTGCATATATTTCGGTTGTAATTCTAACTTGTAACGGTACAGACGGTTTGTTATATTAGGTCTGTAGGCCGGAAACGACTCGAAACATTCCCGCACGTACGAAAACCATTAGCGTGAGTCAACGATTGACATTCGACCCATAAATTAACGAGAACGAGCACGTGGAAACGATCATCTACCGAAAAAAGAATTCCCACTAAAAAAATTACAACTTAAGCTGTTTTAAGCTTTAAAGCTTAGTAAAAGATCGATGTCAAATTATTTCCACCACTAATTGAAAAAGTCTTGTGTTAAATCGGAGCACGTTGAACCGTAATCACCGCATCCTCGAAACCCCGTTTAGCCCCGTATTTACCGATGCCCCACATAGCGTGTACTTCCGGGACCTCCTCTCGTCCATTTATGGCAAAAACCCCGACCCGGACTCTAACTCGGTGCCTTACCCACCCTTTACATTTCCATGATTTATCCTTCCGGGATCCGTTTAATTCGTATGGATCTTCCGGTTCGTTTTGGTTGTGGTGGTTTTGAAATTCTATGTGTACCATCCCATGAACCAACATTTTAGCGCGGAGATGAGGGGGGGATTGTTAGTTTGTTATATCGATTTTCCATTTACACAAAGTTTGTTGCACTGTGCGATGATAGTAGGGGTTGGTTTTGGACGTCGAGAACGAGAGGCGGTGGGAGATTTAGGAGAGACTGCGAATTTCATATAAAACGGTGTCTGGTGTCACTTCGAGTGAACTTTACGAGCGGTAAAAAAGAACAGTCACAGCTTCTTTCTCTCTGGGGATGAAAACCACGAAACGAAATTTACCGCCAGGCATAGTGCATTGTTGTAACTGTTCAATCCCTATCCTTTTCATATTCACCTTAATCTTTTTTTTCCAACTAAACTTTTTTAACCCAAATTTTAATTCTTACAATTTCATTCTTATTTTTAACAACTTTTTTTTAAGGTAAGTTTTGGGCTAAGCAGAACTTGTTGATTTGTCAAACCGAATAATATATTCAGCGAAATCAAGAAGGTATAGAAATTTTTTTACCAAACTCCTAAAAGGAAGTAGCTGATTAAATTTCATTCATATTTCCTAACTATTTTATCACATGTCAATTAAGCGAATTTGGCAGAGGTAAATTGGTTTTTACGAAGGCATCATGTATGGACTAAGGAGGATCAGGAATCTCGCAGAACAGGTATCGGAGATCAAATTACTGCCATGATATTGATGAGCAGAAAATTGAGACAGTGACGAAGAGGGGCGGATCAATATAGCGAAGCAAGAAAGGGGTATAAAGATACATACAGGAGGAAGAAGAAGAAGCTGACGGAGAGGAAGGCGGACGAGATTAAGTTGGTGAGACGGGAGGGGGATGCCTGGAAATACATAAATAAGATAAGAAAGGAAATTTTTCTAGTTACTTTTTTTAAAAGTCACCAGATCTAGTTACTTTTCCAATACCAACCTAAAACTAGTAACTTTTTGCCCCCCAGACTTAAGTTGGTCACTTTCCCTATACTTATAACATTAGAGCGTGACATCACCAGGAGCCGCCTCTGATCTAGAACCGGCATTACTATACTACTGAGAGAGGAAGTTACCAGTGAGCCACCCAACTCCAGTGAGCTCCACGACGAAGTGGAGGGAGTACTTTATGGGGTTACTGGAGGAGTAAGCAAAGGCGGGTAGAGGAGTTGGTAAGGGGGGAACAAGGCGAAGATGAAATAACAGACGAAGAGATGGTGACAGTATTGGGGGGATTGAAGAGGAGATCCAAAACGAGACATGGGTGGAGGTGATGGAGAGGTTGTGGATGGCGTTGAGCATGGTATGGAAGGGAGAAGGGTTTCCGAAAGGGTGGAGTACGGCGATAATAAGTCCCTTGTACAAAACGGGAAGGAGAGATACAGTGGAGGGTTATAGGGGTATCAGCTTACTGAATACAACGCACAAGATATACGTGAAGGTACTGCTTGCGAGGCCGGAAAAAGAGATACACGACAAGGAGCTCCTGCCAGATGGTCAGGCAGGATTTAGAAAGGTAAGGGAAGCGATAGACAACTTTTGAACCAATTATGTCATGCATTTTTGCAAGGATTACGAGCAGAAGGCCAAATTAGGAACGCAAATATTATTGAAAATATAAAAAATATATCAACGGAACAACAAGATTTGGTTTATCGTGTATTATTCAAAAATGAAGGTATCGAAAGTCCATCGAGTAAAGAAAATTCGTGGGCTCTGATGGCAGATATATCTAGGTATCAGTATAATATATTGCGATCATACGCTGCAACTCAAGGATGTAAATTATTATCTAGTTATTACCAAGTTCAGAGCGCAAAGAAAGACACCAGTAAGTGGCAGTATAACATTACAAAGTTTACTTGACCACACCACCAAGAGATTTTTTAAAACACAAGCAGAGTAAGTGTTAAAATATCTTACGGTAATTGATCTCATATTAATGTGTAAGTGGGGATGTGATGAATCCTCTCGACAAAGCCAATATAAACAAATTCTGAAACAGATCAAGTTTCATCAATCATCATAACCGATTCTTATTTGTTTATTTCATCATTAGTTTCTTTGCGTATAACAACAATATTATGGGATAACCCAACTTCTTCAACTCGCTTCTGTAGACAGATATCTATAGAGTTTGCAAAAGAAACTGCGGAGAGACCCAGATATAGAATCCCAAATTGATAAGTTAGCGCCAACACTTATAATGGTAGGTGTTATGCAATTTAGTGTAAACTACCAATTATTTTTTACAATGATCGATGGAAAAGTACCTTCTACATCTACTTGTATGGTATGCCTTGCTAAACCAACGGAAATGAATAATCTGGAGAAGGTAACAACAAAACCATCTCGGGTAGATACATATAAATTTGGTTTCTCATCTTTACACGTTTGGATCAGATTTATGGAGTTGGTTCTTCATATATCGTACAATCTTTCATTTAAAAAATGGTCTGCCATTGATCCTTTACACAAAAAAAAACAAGTACAAGACCGATTTAGAGATGAAGTTGGTATAATTATTGATAAGCCTCGACAAGGTACTGCAAACTGCAACGATGGTAACACTGCTAGAAGATTCTTTTTTAATACTTCTTGCACAGCAGATATTACAGGAGTAGATGAGGATTTAATTAAAAGGTTTACCATAATTCTTCAAACATTAGCCAGCGGAAGAGCCATAGATGCCAAAAAGTTTGGGAAATACGCATATAAACCAGCAGAACTTTATGTAGAGCTATATAAATGGTACTACATGCCTGATTCAGTACACAAAATACTTATACACGGTGAAAGCATCATACAATATGCTGTATTACCAATAGGACAACTTTCAGTTCAACTTTTGATTTGCTTAAATAAATATTAATTAACTTTCCATTATAAGTGTAAGAAGCATTATTAAGGTGTGTCCAGACATTGCGCGGCATTCGCGCGCGGCAATAGCGCGCGGCGTGCCGCGCATATGCCGCGTAGCACTGCCGCGCACTCGTTATTTGAATACGTCCAAACTGGCGCGCGGCAGAATTGTGTCCGACGAACGCCGCGTGTTGCTGCCGCGCACCTGCCGCGCAATGTCTGGACACACCTTTACGTGTAGTTTAACAAGAAGCAAAAATTTTTTTCTTAACAATAATAATAATAATGCCTTTATTAATAAGTCGCAAAAAAAAGGAAAGAAAATAATAATACACTCTTAGAAAATAGACTTATTTTCTGGACGAAGTTCAGTTTGGTTATTAACCAACTGCTCTTCTACTTAATCCAGAATATATAGAAAATATATATATAAAGCAAAAATGAGAATGTTTTTAACAATACTAATAAACAAAATGAAAAAAAAAAAAAAAAAAAAATAACAAAATACGACGACATGCCAGTATAAAGCGATACATTAATAACTCAGAATATAATAAAAAAAAAATCATGATGACTCAAGCAGGAGGGAGGATTTTAATTTACTCTTGAACGAAATACAGTTCAATCCTATAAGGTTCATAGGTAGATCATTGTACGTTTTAGCTATCTGGTAGGAAAAGGATCGGTGCGAGGCGCGGCGTGGTACCGTCAATACATCTTTCCTCCTTATATTAATGTTATGGACATCGCTTCTGAAAGATAGGCGTTGCAGCAAGTAAGGAGGCCGCTGACTTTTAATAATTTTATAATAAACGCAAGTTGCATGCAGTTTACGTCTGTTTTTCATGTTCAACCACCCAGTCTCTGCCAACTTATGACTAATATGGTCATATTTACGAATTCCGTAAATAAACCTCAGACAACCGTTCTGAAGGTTCTGGATACGACGCCCACTCGCCTCCGTTAAATTTGGACCATAAACAACGTCGCAGTGATTTAATTTGCTTAGAACCAAGCTATCACACAGCATAATTTTTAATTTTTTACTTAAGACATCCCTATGGGCATACAAGAGACGCAGGGCGCCATACCCACCCCTCAAGCACCTGGCCACATGCTCCTCAAACCTCAACTGATGATCCAATGTGACTCCTAAAATTTTTATATCATCAGAAACAGTAAGAGGTTCGCCATCCACCACCAATTGACCGGATATCAAAGGCTTAATCGCTCTCCTTGTGACACTACCGCAAAACAGAAGAACAGAAGACTTAAATGGATTTAGCACAAGTTCATGGCGTTTCGCAACATCAGAAAATAATGCTATATCTGAGTTAAATTTTATGCAGGCATCAACCCAATTATTTGGATTAAAATTCAGCAGAAGCTGTGTATCGTCTGCATACAAGTGAATCTGCGAATGCTCGAGAACCTGGTCAAAATCAGATGTATAAATAGAGAACAATAGTGGCCCCAAAATGGACCCCTGAGGGACTCCACGAGTAACAGACAGAGCGCTCGACACTTGACTATTAATCTTCACAACCTGAGACCTGTCCGACAAAAATGACTTTATCAAAATTGCAGCTTGATTTCCAAGACCAAAATAATTAAGTTTAGATGCAAGTATATTATGATTTATTGTATCAAATGCTTTGGTGAAGTCCAACGATAACAAAAGTGCGGCTTGCCCGGCCTCTCTAGAAGCAAATACATCATCAGTAAGGTTCAATAAAGCTGTTGCGCAGCTGAAACCCGAACGAAACCCAGATTGTTGATCTGGCAGTATACTATACCTTTCGCAGTGTGCTCTAAGTTGCTTTTCCAAGACTCTCTCTAAAATTTTTGACATTACTGGGAGGATACTGATCGGTCTAAAATCCCTTAGGGCAGAAGGGGAAGATACTTTAGGTAATGCAATTACTTCAGCCATTTTCCAGGCATCCGGAAAAACTGATTGATGAACAGCAGCGTTTATTACGTGAGTAATATAAGGAATGAGAAAAGGGGTACACAAGTCAATCATCCAGATTGAGATACCATCAGAACCCACCGCTGCAGTTTTAATGTTATTAATTATTATAGATACTTCATGTTCATCAACAGGCATAAAAGCTTGCATTATCTGCACTCTAGGGTTTACATTATTTTGATAAAATATGGGTAATTCG